GATGAAGAAGGCAATATCGTGCGGATGTGCTAAGGGGTGCAATAAGAACTGCTCATGTGCTAAGAATTCAGTCACATGCTACATAGGGTGCCGCTGCCAAGGACTATCAATCAAATGTAGCAAGATGCAGGACATCGGAACAACCGAGATCAGTGACAGTGGCAGCGACTCAGATAGTGATTAGGAAGAAAAGCCGATGCAAGTTAAACGTATAGTAAAGTGTTAACTTTGGAGCAATATAACTTGTTTGTTAGAAAAGCAAATAACTTGTCCTGTTTACACACTATTGACTATACATATGGGCAGTTTACTAGAAAGTTTCAATTCTTTAGTGGAAAGGATTTTTGAAATATGGAGAAAAATGTATTTTGGTGCAAGTCATATTTTGTAAAAAAATTGTCAGAAATCTCATTTTGGCCAAAAATTGTTATGCAAATCATCATCAAGCCCATTAAATGTGGTATCATCTTGTAGGGAATTTAATTCCCTTTAATATGATACCACACACATGGTGAGAGGAGGTTCTATTCAAACATTATCATCAAAATTGGTCAACATTAGTTAGACATAGTGGCCATTTTGAAAAAAATGGCCGCCATTTTTTTTCAGCAGCATATTTTCAGGGTAGTCCACCTGGAAGTTGATCAGGGAGGTCCCCTGAACATGTTGATACCAAACAACCTTTTACAACACCTCATGTCCGGTAAACCTGTCTTGCCCCCTGGGTAATAGCCTAAAATTTTTATTTGCAATGTGGCATGTACGGAAACAGGCAAAACGTTTGACTAACCAACTAAACGGTTGACCAATCAACTAACAGAACGTTTGTTGCTATTATAGGCACTAACTAACAGTAGCTTACATGTAATATGTATGTACAGTTAGGCACACTCCTGAGAATGGTTGTCACGAGCTATTAGTAATTCTAGGGAAGCTGTAGATGTGCTTAAGAACGTGACGATGAGTGGGGAAAATTCACGAGCATAATTACATTGATAATCAACAAATCATTGCAAATAATCGACAAGAATAATGCTAATTACCATGCACGCAACACTTGATTGTAGCCACCTAATTCATCATTGATTATTAAATAATTATTAATATTTATTATTTTCCTTAGTTGGTTCGCATGTTTGATATAACTTTCGTTTTCTATTCTGACAGGCTTTATTTAGATCATGGCTATGCATTGAGATGTACCACCTATACCCTCACACAGTCACTTCTCAAACTATATACCATTAGTTGAGCATGCCGCATTTAAAACCACAGCACAAGACACAACCTTTGTGGAAAACCTGGGATAATCTAGCACAGAAGAAAGGAATCCGGCATACAGTATATGCTGTGAATGGTGATGAATACACTGGAGAATGGCTGAACAACCATAAACATGGTATATATAAATTTGACCAAGAGAGTAGTTTGCACAGTGTAGCGGTGACGTGCAAACACCTAAATTCAATTTACATGAATTGGTAAGTTGCTTCTTAAACTACGAAATAGCACTTGAGTTTTCCTTTGCAGGCAAAGGTACTGAAAAGACTCAATCAACTGGTGCGATATATGACGGTGATTGGAAATGGGGAAAGAGAGATGGCTTTGGAACATACAGTGTGCCTGATGGCGAAGGCATCTACATTAAGCAGTACTCAGGCGGCTGGAGGAATGGTTTGAAACATGTAATACTGGCTTTCACTGACAGTCTTTGGAAGCTATTGTAATAATAAGAGTAATACCTGTATGTATGTATTAATCATTTAGAACACGTATAAAAGGTAATAGTGCATAATTCCAAAACGGAGATTGCATGAAATTTTGTCTAGTTGCGAGTATTTTGCTATTTTTAGGGATATGGTATGTTTTTCTATGGGAAAAAAGTATTCTATGAGGGAGAATGGAAAGAAGGAAAACGCAGTGGTTGGGGAAGAATGGTATATGATGACGGCTCCATATATGAAGGAGAATGGCAAAACGATTTAAGACATGGAGATGGAATGCTAAGGCTGCGTAAGTCCACTGTCCCACCAAGATAGCAACTGACTAATATATATATATATATATGCAGCTTGAATTGGCTGCCACAAGTGGACGAAGCTTGTAGAGTAGCGCTTACTTTTGTCCGTCAACAATAATCAAAGGTATTAAAACGGCTTCATTAAACGCGTTCGTATTCAGCATGTAGATGCAGGGGACGAACGGCTTCATGTGACGGTCTGCAGGCGAAACTAGACGCAAATAGTCAAATGTTAGTCTAGCAAGCAGCTAGGGCATGTTTTATTCAGTCGGGTTCCTATGATTGTGATCGCGGGTCTTCAATGAAAGTCGTTAAATTCAGGGACTCGCAGTAACTGAGTTGTAAGTGTTCTGCGCTTGCTGGTCATAATGCCAACGTTTATTGCTACCGTGCAGCGAATGAGAACCGCTACGAGGGTTCGTGGAAGGCCGATAGGAAGAACGGTCCGGGGAAGTTCTACTACCTTGACAGAGGTCAGCAATACAATGGTGTGTGGGTGGATGACGTGCCGCGGTGTGGGGCTCTTACAGACTACGGTCGGTCCAGCGCACCCATGCCAACGAAATATGTCATCCCAGAGGTAAGCGTCGGATGCGTGGTCGCGATGGTGCATTTTGAAGTGTCGCAGCGCCTTTGAAAGAATATGAATCGCAAACACACGTCTAATGTGTGCTGTGTGTGTGTGTGTGCCTGTCTGTGTGTATGCGTGCGTGTGTGTGTGGCATGCTTGCTTCAGGTATTGAACATGACGCAGGAAAACAATACATGTAAAGCTGCGTGTTTACGTACCGTTAGCACTTACGAGAAACCTTGGGAATATGAATGGCGCCAGGCGCTGCGTGCCTCGATCTATATAGCGCCACAGTACCGCAGCAGTGGGCGACGAAATTCAATATGATTGCACGATGCAATCGTAGCCCCAGGCGCTACCGGCGTTCTCTCATCTTAGCGTGATTAAGCGCACTTTATTGCCGCGTCGCGCATACAAGTGATATCTCGCATGTGCTCCTACATTTACTTGGCTCTTCTTGTGAACGTCATCTTGCAGTGTGCGCTGGAGAACGTAGGAGAGGTGTTGCTGGAGGCGAGCGATGATTTACAGCAGCTGGAGAAACGAACAAAGACCGATGCAAAACGATTGGCTCCAACTAGCGCGTGAACATTCTAGTATAGTTAATATCCACGCCGTGTAATATATGCCACTATTTACTACACATGCTGATGGCGTGGCTTTTAACTCGTGGGCGTGTGTGCAAATATACGTGTACCGCGTAGTGAATCATCCTTATTAAACTTGATCTTATAGCTATACTTCATAGCCATGTACAGGCCTGCGGCAACATTCCCAATGGTATACGTAAAGCTAACCTGATATATCGATGTGAAATTTCGTTTCGATATCCCACAGTATCGATGTTATCAGTAACTATAATTTATGTCTGTTGCCAAGCTATGCCCTGCATCTATGTATAATTTTCCAATATTCTTATACTATTATTTTATTACATAATATTATTAATCTGATATCAGCATGTTGGATTGTTTATAAAGAAACAACAGTAAAACTATACACGCATGTCAGCGTTATGATTTTCGTTATTCTAATATTCGTGTAAGATGACGTTGCGCAAATTAACAGAGTAATTGTTAATCGTCATCAAAAGAAGGCTGTTTTTATGCTAAGAGGCAAAATCAATCGTGGAATTGCGGCCTTTAGAAAAGAGGAGGAAGAGAAATTGGAGAACAATACCCGCTATAGAACGATCCACACGCAGTCAATTATTAACAGTTAAGTTAAATTGTTCACGGCTACACGTGCGGTGGACGTGACAGTTAGCAGAAGCGAATTCAGTACAATAAAACATAAACAACTAAAGTATAATATATTCAGTTATATATAGTCAGGCAAGCGCAAAGAGATTGAAAACTTGGGAATATTACTTAAAACGTAAAGTATAAAATTTAATTAAAATTAAACGTTTCTTGCTGTGGCGACGCTTATGTTATGTTGCCTAGAAATAACCATTTCTTACAAACATGCAGTCGATAATTGTGCACGCACGCGTAAACAGGCGGGCTATTACTCTCACTAGGGCCGTCACTCGATTACTAGTATTGACAGAGGGAAAATCGAAAAGAAAAACAACTGATATGTGCTTCCCGTTGTCTTCCGAGTTATTACCCGTTATCCATCCACTGGTTTATTCTTTTATATTTGCCCATACTGCCAGTGGTATTGATTGAGTCTCAGCGCATAATCGGGAATAATCGGGCGGGAATAACCGCGAAACAGCGGGAATAACCGCGTGGTTGTGCGCGTGCGTGCGTGTGCGTGATACGTAGGCCTACGTCCGCTCGTATGGGTGTGCGCGTGTCTTCGCGTGTGTGCGTGTGTAGTGTGTACACGCGTGTGCGTGGGTGTGTACGCGTGTGCGTGCGTGTGTACACGCGTGTGCGTGGGTGTGTACGCGTGTGCGTGCGTGTGTACACGCGTGTGCGTGCGTGTGTACACGCGTGTGCGTGCGTGTGTACACGCGTGTGCGTGCGTGTGTACACGCGTGTGCGTGCGTGTGTGCGCGAGTACGTGCAAGCATAGTTACCATGTATACATGTTACCATACATACATCTTGTATTCTATGTCTATGTAATTACCAACCATCCTGTATTTCTTGTGTATGTATGTGATATCATATGGACGTCGTCATAGCAACATTTAGTTGTAAATTATAGTAACTTAAAATTACGATTTATTAATATATTTGTATTCAATGCGCACACGCACGCACGCGCGCACACACACGCACACACCCACGCGCACACACACATACACTCGCGCGCGCACGCACACACACACACACACACACACACACACCACACACACACACACACACACACACACACACACCACGCGCGCACGTAGGTGGGTGGATGGAGGGATGGACGGACGATGGGGACGGACGGACGGGCGGACGGACGGACGGACGGACGGACGGACGGACGGATGGGTGGGTGGGTGGATTATGGATGGATGGATACGTAGGTAGGTAGGTGGGTGGGTGGTTGGGTCGGCGGTCGGACTGGCGGGCAGGCAGGCAGACAGACAGACAGGCAGGCAGGCAGATCGATATCGCTGTGTTTAAATGTTCGTTGCTCGAAGTTACACGTATTATTTACGCGCTTCGATTATTTCTACATTTTGCGCTATATTGTCGATATCCGCGCTGTTATAATCGTAGGAACCTGTCACCTGTCACCTGTCACCTGTCGCCTGTCACCTGTCACCTGTCACCTGTCACCTGTCATCTGTACAATGGGTTGAATCTGCACGTAAACGAGTTTGTCCGTAACGCACTCACGTCTCATTTGCAGCAATTGTCAGTTATTGATGAAGTACTCTATTGTATGGAAGCCCTGAAACGACATACGACTTTTTGAGTTTCCGAGTTTTCGAGTTTTTGAATTTCGTATCGTATATAGTACTAGAGATGAAGGTCAAGCAAGGGTCACACAGGGAAGAATGTAAACACGTGAGAACACGCATTGAGAAATGTTTTTAAGTCGAAAACAGACACACTGCGCATGCGTTATAACGGAGATTCTAAATTTAAATTAGGCCCTATGCTTTCCCGCTTAATAGAACACACATTTACTCTCACGGTATAAGGGATTCTAAATTTGAATTATGCTATCCCGCTTAAAAAGGCACACATATATTTACTCTCATGGTAGGGGATTCTAAATTTAAGTTGTTCTTTCCCGCTTAAAACAACACACATTTACTCTCACGGTAGGGGATTCTAAATTCAAATTGTATTTTTCCGCTAAATAACACCAATTTAATCTCACGGTAGGCGATTCTAAATTACTTTAATGTCACGGAATAACGCATGCGCAGTGTGTTCATTTTTGAACTTCAAACATTTTCTACGACGCTCTCAACACTTTATATATTGATCGGAAATTCAGAAACTCGGAAACTCAAAAAGTCGTATGTCGTTTCAGGGCTTCCATACTATTGCTCATGAGTTGCTGTAACCGTAGCAACTCTTCATGTCGTGAACTCGTAATCAACATCATCATACTCGTAACCAGTGAGAAAATCGTGTCAATTAAAAAGAAATTAACGCTTGGCAAACCGAGCACTAACTCTACGCATGAATAGTTTCGAGCTATTAATGTTCAATGCCTAAATCATATATCTACGTAATACAATTACGTAGTACAAATACGTATATGCATTGATAAACAGTAGAAAAATAAGTGCGTTATTTATGCGTTATTGCGTGCATTATAAATATAGCGGTTACATTGCTCCAATTTCTGAAATTCTCGTTGCCAAATACCACTGGAATAAATCTTTATGTATCGTAAATGCATAGCTATGTGTAACTTTGCATTGTATCTTTTGTTGCAAGGAGAATGACGGAAGCTCTTGCGAGACGTACATGCGTGCGTGCGTGCGCGCGCGTGTGTGTATGTATATATGTGCGGGTATGTTTGTAATCTATGCAAATGGTCCAACTGATGTGACCAAAAATTTATCCCCAAAACGCAAAATGATCGGGCTTTTTAACACTTATCTATCAACATAGACATCTCACCTATCTTTTTGTACACTTTCCACAACGTTACACCATGTATTTATCCATTTATTCCTAAAAGTGCCAGCACTACTTCCAAATTCCGTTTGAAATGCTGTGTGTGCACGTGTGACGTCACCCGAAATGTAGCTGCATCATAGCTGCAACAGTGTAGTTGCCATGTGTTTTGTGCCTATGATGCTACATTTCGGGTGACGTCATGCGTGCACACACAGCATTTCAAACGGAATTTGGAAGTAGTGCTGGCACTTTTAATGATAAATGGATAAATACATGGTGTAACGTTGTGGAAAGTGTTCAAAAAGATAGGTGAGATGTCTATGTTGATAGATAAGTGTTAAAAAGCCCGATCATTTTGCGTTTTGAGGATAAATTTTTGGTCACATCAGTTGGACCATTTGCATAGATTACATCTATGGCAGAATGTGCTATAGCCCTGCGGCAGCGATCCGCGGGCTATAGTACTAGAGCTAGGACAACACAGTTCGATCTTCGTACAGCAGGCTTCTGCGTCGACCTCCCAGGCTACTTCCGCCAACAGTTCCCGATGCGTGGCGCAGTACCCTTTCTAGGCGGTGGAGTGTTTTGCTCGAGTAGGCGATGGCCCGCTCCTCCCCATCCTGCTTCTAAGACAGCACCGCACCCAGGCTGGTCCCACTGGCGTCAGTGTTCACCAAGAACTCGACAGGATTTCCTGCCACTTCCAATGTCACTCAATGTCACCATGAGGGCCGATTCTGCAGTCTCATTCTCGGGAGGTCCCACGAATCCATCGGATCTTGGTCCCGGTCTTCGGGCTGCTTCTGTGTACGTCGGCCAGTTTCTTCCAGCCGCACCGTAGGGTTGTCTCACACCTCGTTGTCGCAGGCGCGGGCAGTCCCGACTGAAGTGGCCCTGCTCCCCACACTCGTAACACGGGCCACCTCCTCCTCTAAGTCCGCTCTGCCTGTCAGGTCCCCGCGGTGCTTGGCGGGCCATGTTCGACAGCTCCCGATCACTCGCCAGTTCCCTGAGAAGCCGTGCGATCTCCTTCATTTCCCTAATCGACTCGGTGCTTGTCTCTCGTGACCACTGTCTTCTTGCTTCGGGATCTAGCCCTGCTGCGGGGGCTCCCGACGGTGGTGACACTTCGGGTGCTGCGGGGGCTCCCGACGGTGGTGACACTTTGGGTGCTGCGGGGGCTCCCGACGGTGGTGGCACTTCGGGTGCTCTGGGGGCTCCCGACGATGGTGGCACTTCGGGTGCTGCGGGGACTCCCGACGGTGGTGGCACTTCGGGTGCTGCGTGGGCTCCCGACGGTGGTGCCCTCCCTCTCTCTATATAGTGGCCTCTAACATTTCCATCGGGCGATTCGTCCGGCGTCTTGCCTCACGTCTCCACGCTCCCTCTTCTTCTTCTTCTCGCTTTCTGCTCTGCCCATACACTTCCATCAATTTACTCCTCTCTGGACTCACCCCTCCTGGCTGGCTCAAGTCTCCTTGATTCCTCGGCCTGTCCCCTAGGAACTACTCGGCCTGCCCCGAATCCGCCGTGCTCTCCCCTACCTCCTGTATGTGCGCCAGCGGTCCCTCTATCTCACTGACAAGCTCTTCCTCGCCTCCACGTGTGCTCCTAGTCTGTCGTCTCGATGTTGTCATCCTGCCCGCAGAAATCCTGGTCTGTACGGCGGCAGTGTAACGTTTTTGCCTTCTTCTCCACCGTCTTGCCCTCTATCCGTGATCGTATACTAGGTTCGGGCGTGGCCGAAGTTCTCCTCGGGAAGTTACGTCTCCCACCCTTAGTCTCTCGCGGATGGTCCACGCTGAGACGTCAGCTAGGGGCTGACCTCCATGCTGCGATACACGGGGTGATACATATAATAGTATACCTGCTGGATAATTATTGGGGCAGTCACAAGTTTAGTATCAATCGCTGCCATGCTGGCTGGTCGCGCATGCGAAGACGCTGCACGTTGATCGGCCCC